AGCGCGGGACTTAAAAAGCAAGTTATCCGAGAATTGTTTTTTGAAACACTTCATTAGCATGGATCATTGGTTCATTCTGCTTTTAGAGACTTAAAAAAAAGCTGTTAAAGGTTGTGATGCATAATTTGCCTCAATGGGAACGTGGCCGAATGGTTAGGACATTCGTATTCTGACCATGAGACTCCGGGTTTGAATTTGTCAGGAAAAGAGACTTCCTGATGTTATCGGATTGGAGGTGTTGATCCCAGCGTGCGGGATCTTTTGGAAAGTGCCTGAAAAATCATACCACTGGTTGACCCAAGCCTTGTGAGTGAAATTGAGTAGACGGAACCCTTCGAGGCCGTCGATAGCTGTGCTAGCGGGAAGTCACAAGTCAGCGTGCCCGAGAACTTGAACGTACTGGCCTTGTTCAAATTGTTGATCACGCTAGATAAACTGTAACTAAGGCCTGCTCAACATAGTTGCAGTATACACCACAGGTGGGCCATGTGGGTGTTGAATAAACACAAATATGCCTGAGCAAGCGTCTGCAATAGGGATTGGCTAGCCACCTTAGTAGACGGGTATCCTCAAATACGAATGGCCAGCTATACATAAAATTTGCCTCAAATAATTGAGCGGTTAATATCAAAGCGCTACCTAAAACCATTACCGATGAGATACAACCTCAGGCTTTGATTAACTTTCATATAGATATCGGTGTAAAGAATATTGTCTACCCAGAAATATTGTTCCACTTTAGTTGCGAGAGTTGTTTTAAGCTGTCTGTGGAAAAACTCTACTAAACTTTTAGCGTATTAATATACTAGCTTTAATGTTTAGTACCGAATAATTTTTCAAATTCCTTCAACAACACAGATTGAAATTAATTTGTCTGAATTTCTGGGATGAGGAATTATTATTTGTATGCAAATTATTTCCCTCCTCTTTGCTGTTATCTCAACGTTTCAGCTATTGTACTCTCCGGCTTTCATCAGGTGTATATTGATCCGGCTAACCTACAGGTAATTCCTAACTGAACCCTTTAATCTACGTGGTAAAACTGTTCTCGTTCCATTGCTCATGTCTCGTGATGTCTCGTCTGGATTCTTGTTTTTAACTCGGCAATACTAAACATAAGAACTAGACGAGATATTCATAGACATGGGCAATGGAACGTGAACAGTCTACTTCCATAGACGAAATAAGGTTCAGTTCGTAATTACCAGTAGGTTACCCGGGTAGATCTTCACCTGATGAAGGCCGGAGGACATAACAGCTGAATAAAGATGAAGAAAATAGTCCGCACTGTCATAACCTGAAATTAGATCTTCATTCCACATCAAAATCTGTCGGTTGGATGTGAACGCCAAGAAAACAAAAATAAAAAACCGCCCTCTGCGCAGGTGCTCAGCATTACATCCGGCTCTCCAAAGAATACAATATAAAAATAGCCAATTACGAATTTTGCCACTAAAGCATAAAAGTGACAGAAAATGCGGAGTTCTGATCCATTCATTTTCCTTTTAAGGATATCGCTCACAACACTGAAAGCAGCAGTCACAGTGAGCTGGAAAGTTACCAATGATATCACCAGTGACCTCAGCCGACAAGCACATCAACTCCAGGCTCTACAGAGTCTCCCATCCTCCAGGTCGCTTTACTCGCCCACAAAGACATTCCGCCTTGGTATTCCGTATTAGCAATACAAAAATTTATCTTATTGTCTCTTCTTTTTGCCTCACCGGCGGTACTTGTTTCGTTTGTTCTCTCGTACAACGATCTCGCATTTATAACAGAATGTAAATTATGAAAATAGCGGTTTGACAATGCGCTCTTCTATTTACGTAACCGTATGTTGTGATCCACTGTTTCAGGAAGATTTTGGCTAAGGTCTTTGCTGAAACGTCTTTAATCAGAAGCACAGACGACTTACTGAAATGATTCACAATGGTTCGTAGGTAAATTAATCCATGAATGTTGGAGTGGGCCAACAATGTCAATATGTAAGTTCGTGGAATTTTCCATTTGGTTTGTTAAAATGTCTCAGTGGTGATGAGAGGGAATAACATCGCTGCATTCAACTTGACAGAAAAGGTCTTTCTAATTCTGATACTGCTGTGAGAAAGGTTTAGGAATCTTTTTGTTCACTTGTGTAGCTCAGCTTCGTGAAATTTGCCAAAACTGTTCAGTATCATTGAAAGTATTCAAAGCTGAATCTTGTACTATTATTTTTCCATATTTTATTTTTATTTTTTCTTTGAATATTGAAAAGAGGGAATAATATCTTTAAACATTTTGGCAAAAACCAACGTTATAATTATGCCAATAAATCGACATATTGCCTGATTGATATCGATTGTGGAAAAATATTGAATTGTCGCGATTTACCAGTCTCATTTATCTTATGTCCGAGGAAAGTTTTGACTGACTTTTAAGTCCAAACAGTTGCAATCTTTCGAAGTCCTGTTGTAAACGGTCATAATGATCTTATTTTTTACTACCAATTAATGTCATCACTGTATGCGATGATAAAAGGTAAGCCACGTAGCACTTCGGTGTTTAGTCGTAACAATTGCGCTGTATTATGTGAAAATGTAACACTGGTCGTGTTTAAACTTTTAAATACATGAAATTAGAGAATGTCGAAATTCTCAGAGTGGGTTAAATGTTTAAGAAAATTTAAAAACAAAACGTGTTAAAATCTGTTCTAAATTCTTAAAATGAAATTAGGAACAGTTCCAAGAATCGAATCCAGATTTAAGTAAACAAGATTCTGTAAAATTGAGCAAAAGCAATATTCACCGTTCTCAACGATAAGAATTAAACGATTAATATAAATTGACCGAATTGCTTGGATAGTGAGAAATTAGAAAAGAGGTTTGTTTACAACATGCTATTGGTAGAAAATGTGTGTTGGTCACAGAAAATAATATAAATTTTTCTGGATAAAGAACCAGGGAAAATCTAATTTAGAAATTTTTGTTGACCACCCAAGAAAAATTCTTTACAGAAAGATAATTAGGAAGACTTTGAATATACAAGGGAAATACCATATGGCCAATTAGTAAGATGGGCTGCAATTTTTATTTCTGACGCGGGTAAGAAAAGCTACATTGTCAATATACGGGAATATGGAGATGATGAAATGGGGCATTGTGAATTGTCATTTTCTGTCGCCTGTCTGGGTAAAGGAAGTCATCAATCATTGTTATCTGAAAAGATTTCTCTATATAAATCCAGCGCCAATTCTCTTGATGGTCATTTTTCCCGAGCGTGAAGCAGAAGTCAGACATGCGCACATGAGTACTCGCGTGCGCGTGACGAAATAATTGAGGAAGGTCGACAGGCTGGTTATTACTTTAACGGTTACGAAACCACCATATCACCATTCCTGCGGTATATTACTAATTTGCAGTAGCTAGTAGACAAGTATTCAACGTTTTTTTTTTTTTTCTTCATATACAAACCTGTTAGAATTATCAAGAGTGTTGTGCATTTTATTGGAGGGGTTGTTATTCTAGCCTGAATTTCAATAAAGTGCGCCCGGACGAAAGTGACAATAGTTCGCAACGGCAGCTGGCGGTAATTATGCAAAATCTTATCTGGGGTACACGACGTATAGCGGGATTCGCACTAGACTTCGCCGTCAATCCCATTATCGTAAGATTTTTGGAAAACCCGAATCAACCTTATCGAGATGACGCACCGGCCCCAGCTGAGGAGGGAGAAGAAAGTCGGATGACTCGTAAGGTCATTATTACTTACAAAGCTAGCGACTGAGGAAAAAGGAACAGAACTCGGAGCCGGCGGGAATGTGGTGTGTGCGTTGAGAAGCGATAGTTGTTGATAGACGTGTCATTAAATGTTGTCACATTCGGTGGGTTACAAAAAGAATGGCTTTTTGAAGAACTGAACTAGCTCAAAAGGAGCTGTAACGACTACCTTGGTGTACGCTGGGGCTGGGAGTTACCTTGGTGTACGCTGGGAGTTATCGGGTATCGAATTAATCGGGTATTGAACTCACACTCTTTGGGTCCTGTCACTGGATCTAACTAACGCCTTTATCCACTATGCCATAAGTGCGAGTTCAATACCTGTTTAAGGCGGTGAAGAACTTGGAGAGGGAATTAAGCAGGAGATAATTGATAACTTGACATCCATTAAACATGGCACGTGGAACTTGAACAGTGAGCAAAATAAAAGGTTCAGTTTGACATTCCAACCCCCTGAAGAAGGCCGGAGCGTACAACGGCCAAAACATTGTAATAAATATGGCGACAATGATGAGGACAATAGTCCGAATAATGTAAATTGTGTGTTGATGATGAACAAAAACCAGAAGTGTTGAATTGGTTGAAAGAAATAGACAAACAAGAGAATGAATAAAATGAGTTTATTCTATCGGGAACATTTACTATAGAAAATGTTCAAGAATAGTTCCCGAAAGAAAGTGTAAATTCAAGAAATGTTCTCATGGTGCAAATCCAATGCCTACTCACTCCTGTTGGAGGAATCCCTCACTGATTGACCACATCTTCAAGGATGTAGCCGTATTCACCAACTGCAGGTGGGTGAGGCTATTTAACTTCTAGGATCTGATTGGGGGAATCGGTTTAGTCGCCGATCATCCAGGGTTTTTAAATCTGTTGTCCTTTGTGGTGGGTACAAAATAACTCCCTTTATCCACTTCCTTCAAATTCGGGTGAGCTGAGGAAAAGAAAAAAAGGAAAGAAACTCACGAGTCTCTGAAGATTTCTTTGGACTAATGAAAACCTTGTTTTCACAAGAATTAGCCGTTGAGCTTAGGCAAAGAAAGAAAAGAAAGTAATGAGCCTAAAATCGTTTTGATATAAAATAAGGAAAAAAATTAAAATTAACAAGAGTATCGGAAGTCGTGTGAAAATTTTCACTTTTCGCGCGTACAGTGTTCAGATTTTCGCCAATGTCGAATTACGCGCTGATTATCGGCCTTAACCAAGCATTTTGCACTTTAAAGAACTTTATTTCAACAATCCAAGAAATCCCTCTCTCACTCTTTTCTCTCTCACTCTTTTCTCTCTCCTTTTTCTCTCTCTCCTCTTTTCTCTCTCACTCTTTCTCTCTCACTCTTTCTCTCTCACTCTTTCTCTCTCACTCTTTCTCTCTCACTCTTTCTCTCTCACTCTTTCTCTCTCACTCTTTCTCTCTCACTCTTTTCTCTCTCACTCTTTCTCTCTCACTCTTTCTCTCTTCTCTCTCTTCGTTCTCTCTTCTCTCTCTTCGTTCTCTCTTCTCTCTCTTCGTTCTCTCTTCTCTCTCTTCGTTCTCTCTTCTCTCTCTTCGTTCTCTCTTCTCTCTCTTCGTTCTCTCTTCTCTCTCTTCGTTCTCTCTTCTCTCCTCTCTTCGTTCTCCTCTCTGTTCTCTCTTCGTTCTCCTCTCTGTTCTCTCTTCTCTCTCTGTTCTCTCTCTCTCTTCTCTCTCTCTCTCTTCTCTCTCTCTCTCTCTCTTCTCTCTCTCTCTGTTCTCTCTCTCTCTCTGTTCTCTCTCTCTCTCTCTTTCTCTCTCTCTCTCTGTTCTCTCTCTCTCTGTTCTCTCTCTCTCTCTCTGTTCTCTCTCTCTCTCTGTTCTCTCTCTCTCTCTCTGTTCTCTCTCTCTCTCTTGTTCTCTCTCTCTCTCTCTGTTCTCTCTCTCTCTCTTTGTTCTCTCTCTCTCTCTTTGTTCTCTCTCTCTCTCTTTGTTCTTTTTCTTTCAACTTATACAACCATACATTCCTTCTATGAATAACGAACTCTCTTACCTTTTCTTAAACATTTTTTGAATATTTTTTTGTGCCAGACGATTTCCTGTTCCTGACAATTGGTTAAAATTAAGGATTTTTAACAATTTGTTTTATTTTCCTGAAACGAGCTGCTGACAGAATTTCGTGCATGTACATTTATAAATAAATTCCTTTTCTTTTTTTTTTTTTTTTTTTTTTTTTTTTTTTTAAATAACCCGCATGTTTTCTCGTCATTGTCTGCCTCCATTAACCTTCTTGGCGTGGGTAAACCAGTTCATTTTAACCCCGAAATCCCACCTTCTAAACCGGTTGCCACCTAAGGCTATAGGCCCCAGTTTGTTCTACTGCCTACCCATAGCTAGCGGGAGAAGGGATGGATCCATACCTTTCCCAGGATTGTTTGCACGTAGGTAACTGTGTAACCCACTATCTCTGCCGCGTTGATCTTCAGGTTCCTTCAGACCACCGTGGTTACCATCAAGTTGACTCCTCGCTCGTTAACGTTGGGTTGTCGCTGGTATCATGAGCACGGTCCCAAACGATTTGGACGGCTTTCATCTGCTTCATGACCATTCACTCCTCTGCCACGTGGTGCGAGAAGATCGCTGATGAAGTCAACTGAAGTGAAGAAGTGATCGACGGCTGGGAGCTACACAAAAATAATTCTTTTCAATAAAGAATTAATTTTGGTTAAAAATGTAACAACGATTTGGTTTATATATGATTTGTTGTATACAATGGTTTCAACCCTTCCCACTTACTTTTATAATCAAATGACACTGGGATCCACGTTTCGAGTTTACAGCCTTTGTTAGCAATAAGTTCTAAGTTCTGGTCTTCAGGGCTAGCACAAGGTCTAGATCGTGATCAGGACATCTTAGATTCCAGTAGCACTAATGTGGGGTTGAGCAGAGTCTGGGGTTCGATCATCTCCCACCCTTAGCATTAACCTTTTTCTAAAATCCCATATTTTCAAAACATATTTACTAGAGTAATTTTCCAAATTTAGGGGTTGTCCAGCCCACTTTTGAGAGTGGTCAGAGGAATCAAGCCTCTCCTTAACTTCAAATACCTCGACTTTTCACCTCCTGACACCATCCCTCCATGTAGGGGATGCTAATCTTTCTCTCCCTTCTCCCACATTCTCAGCATTCAACCTCAGCTCATTTGTATTTGTGACGAATCTAAACTTTTAGAATGTGTATGCGAAAAGAGGATTTCCAGTAATTAATCTTTCTATCTGCTTGTCTCACGCTGGTTGTTATAGGTGATTTCTCAAAGCCAGGGACTCGACTATATCTAAAATAAATTCGAGCCAATCCGGATGCCCCCCCCGCCAGTCATTCTCAAGAATTGTTTTGTTCATTCATTAATATTTATTTTTAGGGTTTTCTTCATTCATAATCTTTATTTTTGTAGGGATATTTCTTTTTTATTTATTTCTTTTATTTTTATTTATTTATTTTGTTAACCGACCCTAATCTGTTTTTTGATTTCACAGGATCTAAACTTGAATATTTAAACCGTTTCTTTCTCATCTGTAATTCAATTTGAAGTAATTTACTGAACTGCACAGAGAACCAATACAAAAAAAAGTCTAATTACAAAATTGATTCATGCTGATTTTTACGATCCATTATTATTGAAAACTAAAAAAAGCAAAAACATAAAATATAGCTTTTATAATTCGAATCGTGTAACTTTTAAATTTAGTCGATGTTATATAATAAATTGCAGTTATAATTACTCAACTGTTAGCGGTTTATTGTCAATTAACACTAAAAAGTAGAACATAGGTACGTTACTACGCTTCCCTCCAAATATAACACATTAGTAAGTGGTTAAGATTATAAGAAATAAAACCCTATTTCCAACACAATTATATACCATATTAAAACTCGTTCAAATTTTATTTTCTACTCTATAACAATCTTTCAAACGTGCTAAGATTCCACAAAAGAAACACACACATTAAATCAAATGGCCTATTGGTTAGAAATTAACATCAGCCTGTGTCGTATTCTGTCGACGCGCCCACATTTTTTAAAAACAACTGGAAGAAAAAGCTTAACCAGTGTTGTAAGACTGATTCAGGAAATAAAGAGGCCTCAAAAGCAACCGAGAATCAAAGTGTAGTATCAGTTCCAGCCATCATCTTCTCCAGTAGGCCTCCACTTCCTGCCACTCCAGCTAGCTCAAACGGCATTCTCCCTCCAGGCATCATTTTCAGCAGCAACGATATGCAATAAACTTTCCTTTTCAGGACAACGCTCTCCAGCGACAACCAAAACTGTTCTTCTCAGGACAACGCTGTTTTCACCTTCTACGTGGGCCTGCAGTTATTTTTTGCCGAGTGCGCTATACAATTATTCTTGTTAATGCATTCTTCTTTAGCAATTTAGCAATATATTTTTATACTCAAATCTTCGTTCGGTTTGTTAACTTCCTTCATTTACTGTTTGCCAGCCAAAATACCACCCGCAACACATGTGAAATATTTGACAAAGAAAACTAAAACCTGATTTTTCTCGAGTTTGACTTTCAAGAGAATAGATGCTACTGCCTCCGAGCCGTTCAGACACAAAAGACATGGCTATATAGTTTCCTCCTTTCTCCCCAGCGCCTGCTAAAAGAAACGATGTCGGCGACTTGAAACGAATCATCTCTAACAACGGCGACAGTCAGTGAATCTCCGCTGACGATCAATCTTTTTTATTTTTTTTTCCTCAATGACAGCTTTTAACGGTGGGCCAAGTATTTAAGTCTCTTTCAAACTAGTTTTTTTTTCCTGTGAACCAACTATTCAAAGACTTTAACTTTGACTATTTATAATTTCGAAGGACGTTTGTAATTTTTTTCCTTGTAGAGTAAACCGGGGGGAAATAGTGGTTTAGTGACGTGCAATTAAACGCGAAGTTCAGGCCACTTACGAAAAAGGGGAGCCGTGTCTGTCTGCGTCGACAAAGTGGAGGGAATTTATCTGCGTTCATCTTGTCATAAACATCGTAGAAACATTACATGCACAAAACGTAAGGAACGTCATTACTTATGCTCTGCCATTAATTTACGCAAATTCATTAAATATGCCATCAGTACCTCTTGTGCTTGCCAAGCTTACTGCGCTGCCTTTTCTCATTGTGTCCTAGAAATTTCAACTCTGATTTTATGTATAATTGTCCTTTTGGCTTTTATTTTCCTTGAAACTTCCTCATTGCTTATATGCTCTGCCTATGGTATACTCATCACCTTTATGTAGAACATCATTTCTCTTATCTGTGAGGTGATTGTCCATCTTTCACTACCATATAAGATGTATAAGATATTGATTTTTACATAGTAGTTGAGAACTCTCATTTACAGTGTGAAATAACTCCCTTTACTTACTCCTTCAAATTCAGAGGAAGAAGGAAATAATTCGCGAACCTATGGGAAATTTTTTGAACCAATGAAAACCTTGCCTTCACAAAAATAGCCGGTGAGCCAAAATGGAAAGAAAGTAACGAGCCTACACGAAATATTAATGAGAAGGGTGTCTGAAATTGTGAAATTTTTCGTCGTGACCAGCGTTGAAGTATTTGCCTGCATAAAATGACTTGCCAGTTGTATTATTGGCCTTTTAACTGACACGTTGCACTTCAAATACTTTTCTCTCAACAATCCATTATTTTGTGTCACATCATTTAATCTTTTTGAACATTTCCCATTAATCTTTTTGGTGTGGCTAAATCAACTGTTCATTTTAACCTCTAAGCTCCATGCTACTATACATCTTTCTCCTTCCGGGTCATATTTAGGGTAAGGTTTTGATTCTCACTGGGTGCTTCATTTACTGTGGTACTGCGCCAGGCCTAAGCGAAGTTTAAAATAACATTGTAATAATAGATGAATTTAAAAAAAACATCAAGATTTGATGAAAGAAAAACTATTAAGACGACAAAAAAACACAGCGAACAACAAAAAAAAAAATGATAAACTGATAGGGGTACTGAAATTGTTTTGTAGAGTATTAAAAATATCACACTATCAGATTTTAAACCCAAGAATTATCGTTAAAGAATGCTAGTCTTTTAAATCTAAACTTTATCATAGAATACGCGTCTCCGATAAGAATTAACTGTGTGATTATTTTATTTTCTATTCTATTATTTATTTATTTATTTATTTATTTTTTGCCTGTTCGTTTGTCACAGTGGACTTGACCGTAATGATTTAAAAACTGCCATCATTCACAAGTTTTGTTATGGCGACACAGAATATGTTCGTTTTAAATCGCACCAAAGTCTTACATCCGCATTTAAGCTGATTTAAATGTTAAATATATTAGTTTTCACTTTGAATTCTTTTTAATATTATTTGTAGTGTCGTGTTACTGACTCACGGGAAGCAGTATGCACTCAACTGCCTCATGGGTAATAGCCCTAGCTATTTTCTCTATTTCACTGTCATGTTTTGCGTTGACATGACATTTTCGCCTTCATTACTTTCAGGCTCACTATACATTTCTTCATTGCATCGTGTTGCAATCTGACTGCATGCATCATAGCGTTCTGTCCACTTTACACTATGAATCTTGCCTCTTGTAAGTTAGATTTACTATTCTTTTTGTACTAGTTTTCCGTTAGTGGCATAAGACATGATCAATAGGGCTTTAATTTGTCTTATGACGGCGGGCGGGCTTTTTTCATCTTCAAACATGTGGTATTGTCCTATAACTTAATAACATTTCTTCCAAATCCAAGTGTTGCTATCTTTTCTTTCCGTTTTTTTATAGTTTGCATCATCCTTTTTGCCATTTTATTCAACCATTGGCATAGTTCTTCGTCACAGAACTCTGGTGCGTTTTCTGAATTCCATTTCTTGAAAATATGATCGTTAACGCTCGTTTTACGGTCGGAATTCTACATCTATAGAATAGCCTGACCACCATGCCACTAGCCTTAATCTCCTTTGTGTAGACGTCATTCCGCAATGAACATAGTCATGTAAACTTTTTATAATTTTGTTC